CTTATTGGGGCTGTAGAAAGTGCGTTTTATGAGTTGCCGGCAGATACAGTTGCAAAGACATTCATAACACTTCAAAAGGTTTTGGAAATGTCCATTGAAATGCATGGAAGCAATGATTACAAACTTCCTCATATGGGAAAGGATGCTTCAATTGCTGACTTTGCATCGTACAATGTTGAGTTCGATGCATCTTGCTACGAGAGTGCGTTAACTCATTTCCATGAGCGTCTGGGCGAGGAGTCCACGATGGAAGCGTTGGTGAATTCTCTTGATTGAGTAGTCAGCATGAACTTAAAAAAAATACATTAAATTTTGTGCCTTGAATATGTTATCTTGGAGTTGCATACAAAAATCAAGTTGTTCGAAAGCCATAGCACATACTTTAATCAAATGAAAAACTACCTGACAAACGTTTCGGATCAGAGGAGTAGTAATTACCATCTTGACTATTGTATTTGATCGACTAACCATCCTTTAAATTGATACTAAGTTAATTAGTAGTATGTGTTTGTCTCATGCGAAAGAGCTTGAAACGGGGAATTTGGATATGCAGATTCCACATTCAGGATGTCAATCCTGAACGAGATATGGTCAAGGGAACATTACACAAATTTGTCAAATCACTGATTGCTCACGTTAACAGTGGAATTGGATCGTGGTAAGTATGGTGTGAAGCCAGTAAAAGAATAATACCACAAGGAATAGAGACCTCCTACAATTAACCAAGCATCATTACCATTCGCATTTGCGATATTCGAGTGAAGGCGGGTAGTGGAGTTGATATATCCTCACATACCAATTTATCCTTGTGGTTGTATGTGTGTCTTGTACAATTGTTTGAATGTTTGGATGTTGTTGGATAACCCGGGGGTGGGGGCAGGGGATAGTACACGCACACAAAGGTAGAGCTCAGTTCGAGGTAAAAGGATGAAAGCCAAGGCCCTGTTCGGGCAACTTCACTGAACGATCAGTGAACGTTTCAACACTGAACCACTTTATTCGGAGGGGCAATTGGAACCACTACTGGAGGTAAAGTGGTGTTGGCGTAGCTACAGTAAGGTTCAAACAGGACCTACCTAAAGCGCAACCATTACTCTTAGCCGCATTCGTACGTTTTAAAAGTCGCAAACGTTATTGTGTGGAATGGGCTACAAAAGGAATCCCACATTGGTCCCCATGCATCATGGTGGGGCGCCGGCTGACTGCCACCGATTACAACAGTACTCCTGCTGATACGACTTGCCGTTTTACTTACTGTATGCTGATCGACACCGTTTCGTGTGCAATGTCGGCGCAAACCCCGAATTCAATCATTCGTCGGTCATCCAATCACAGGGCCAAATTTTGTCGGTTTTGTGTCGTGTCTGCCTTATACACTCATGGCCATAATTCAAAGAATGCTCATCACAGAGTCGATTGAGACGAGGTGGAATTTGCGTAGTGAACTTCGTGTGAAACGATAAGTGAAATTTTTCCTTTGACCTATACCTGCGAAAAATCATTTTCAGGTAGCGAGGTTTTCCATTATATCATGGGATGTTTGTGTCGTACACTGCGTCCGTGGTATCCTTGGTCAGATAATCATGTGATAGCTTTGCAAGCCCAGGGAGGGGTGTAAGGATTACCATCTGGGGGGTGAAGTAGATCCTATTTTAGGATGCGTATCAAACTACCACTAACAGAATGCTGATTTCAGCATCCTGTTAGTCGGGAATTGAAATCAAAAGACAAAGGTCTATTCTGGCACTGATTTCGTTTGATTAGGCAAGAACCAATTGAAAGCCAAGGCCACGGCCAAGCCAGCGAACTGAAACGTGAATGTGATGGAAACTACCCCGATGGAGCCGAATGTGAACAAGAGGTCTTTTATACTTACTACTAGTAGTATGGACCTCTTGTTCTGCTACCGTTTCGTGGTTTTCAAATCATATGTTTTTTTGTGATCGTTCAAATGATCAGTTCGGCAATCGACAACGAATTGATTCAATAACATAAATAATAATGAAAAAAATAAATGAGCACTTATACACAACTTAGTCAATGCCTTGATGGATGATCACTAACCACGTTCTGACTTGAAACTTCGTCACTGGACAAGAGGTCTACTAGACCTCTTGTTCACTTACAAATTTCTAGTAGCACTTTTAAAATCTACTTCGTAGTAATACCAGTACTAGTACTGCATTGTAGTAGTATATACCAGTACCATATGGGGTATACCACATAGGGTATGATACACTGTACTGCATCCCTATATTGCGATGGATACAGTACCGGTAGACCCGTCATTCGCGAGCTTGTTTGGTCCCTTGGTCATTCTTCAATATGCCAGCCATGGTCAAGATCATTGTGGCTGGCTTGTCCGCCGGTGTCGCGTCTGCTTTCGGCACCATCTCCGAGTTTCCGACAGAGATTACCAGTCTCATGGATCAAACCAACCGTGGATCCGTGCACCGACTTCATTTCGTATTCGTGCGGGACGTGGTACAATAAGACCACCCTCCATAGCAAAGCCGCTATCAATATGTTCACCGTGATTGCCGCTGCGGCGGACAAGGTGATCGAAAAGTTGTTTAACGCCAAGCTGCCTAAACTCGCCGAGTTCTACGACTCGTGTATGGACACTGACACAATAGACACCTTGGGCTTGGCTCCCATCGAAGCCCACCTCAAGGCGATCCGCAGCGCCAACTCTACCGTCGAAGCCATCTTTCGCGGCGCGGCCATCTCCAACGCCACCGGCGTGAATCTGTTCGTGAAGTTGTCGATCTGGCCCGACGACGCCGACGTCACCCGCAACATCTTGAGTGCCGAACACCCGGGATCGCCGTTTGGCCGAGAATATTTCCACGAACCATTGTGGGCCGATGTTGAAAAGCCGTACCGTAAATACCTTGCCACGATCTTCACGCTGGCCGGCCACGCGGAGGTGGAGGCGGCCATTGATGTCGTGATTGATTTTGAACGCCTCTTTGCCGATGCGTAGAGCGAAGCGCGCCGCGAGTTGTTGCAAAGCATTCGATTGGCCTATATATCCAAGATTCGCAGGAAGAAACGAAGGATGACACCGACGTGGCCAGCCGACTTCAACTGTCCTATATTAGGCAGTATGGGATTGGCCGAGTTGCGAAGTATGCAGACCGCATCGCAGCCGATTGCAATTGACAGTGGATCAAGAGCTGCATCAACCACCCAAGCGTCCGTCCTCCGAGTTTGATGCCAACACGAACGTTGTCAAGCGTATGAATAGTGCGTTGAGCAGCAGGACGCATCGGAGCCAAATCAAACAAGCTGTGCTGTATGGGCAAAGGTTGTACCGAGAGAAACAGCGCGTCGTGAAAGTAAGTTGGCCGCCTCTGCTGCGAAGAAGATGGAGTACCGCCAAACCAAGCGTGCGAAGAAATCTCAAATGCGTTAAGCTGATGAACAACCGCAGGTGGAAGACTTCCTGATAGAGTTTGTACCCGCTTAGCATATGATCACGCTAGAAGGACCGGCGCTGAGCCGTGGAGAGATGGCTGCTTTGGACGTTGAGCTCAACCCGCGTCCATTTCAGCCATTGGATGATCCGGAGGCACCAAGATGAAAATGATTTCGTCGAGGGAGTGCACGACGACATCGACCTTCATCTGATGCTCGAGCCGTATCCTTTTCAATCACTGGAAGACCCTACGGCCATTCATTGTGAGGTTCAATTCATCGAGGAGGCCCTCCACGACATTGACCTTGGCGAAGATCCACCATTCCTTCCTCAAGATCCCGTCCAAGATGCGAGTCAAGTGCGGTCTCCACGCCGAACCCCTGTGAATTACGTCGGACGGCAATCGTACGAAGTGTTTGAGGAAGGGTGGTCACACGCGGCTGCAAGAAAACGAAGACGTGCCCGCATTGCCGAGCAAAGTTGACACCCCACGACTACAAGAAGCAGCGACCCCAAGACGTATTCTATTCAAGGCCTGCTGACCCACAACATTGGTCCGTTGTAGTCCAGCTGAACAGAAGTGGCAACCTGCGACAGCCAAGTTTTGCCCAAATCTACATGCACACCAGCGATGAGCAACTTCAACACCGACGAAACATGTTTACGGCATTCAGTTCGCGGTACACTGCCACGATACAGCGAGTGATGGATCTCCATAACCCATTGGCGAGAACGTATGCCACTGAGAAAGAACGCTTGCGTCGATCGGAAGCAGACGGGACATCGGGGGGCAATCTTCAAATTGTCCTGAAGGCTGTTGGTGGCGCGCAGACGGCAGCGAACAGACAGAAGGCCGTCATGTGGTTCTGCAAAGTCTGAACTCGAACCGGTTCACAACCATCCGAGAAACGAATCCACTTCACGACGCGTTGCAGTTTCCCCTCCTGTTTCCAATGGGAGGTCCTGGATGGGAGTACACCATGACGAAGACCGATGGGAAATCATTGTCTCTCCGTGCGTTCTTCAACTACTGGCTTGAAGAACGAGACAGCGACGACTTCTCCGACATGCTACACCGATCCTCCATGTTGTTCAAGATGTACAATACGGTTGGCTTCGTTCGCGTGGAAACCAACAGGCTGCGCTACATTTCGCAGAACGGGGACAAGTTGCGATTCGATTTGTACGCAAGCGTCAAGGAGGTAACCGAGAGACGCTCAGGGCTCCACAACGTCGACATCAAGTCCATCGTGTCTTCAAGCTTTACTGGCGGCAAGCGTTACATGAAGAAATGCTACTTCAACGCCATGGCAATTGTGCGCAAGTACGGGAAGCCATGCCACTTCGTCTCCATGACTTGCAACCCCAATTGGCCGGAGATCATCAGTCAACTCAAGCCCCATCAAACGTCAGCTGAACGCGATGACATTGTTACATGAGTCTTTGAGTCGAAGCTAACGTATTTCGAGGACGACATCCACAAGAAAGTCGTCCTTGGCAAGGTTGTCTCATCCGTGCGTGTTGAAGAGTTTCAAAAGCGTGGCCTGCCGCATGTGCACATGCTCATCATCATGGAGGACCAAGACAAGTTCAGGACCATCGAAGACATCTACTCTGTGGTATCCGCGCGCATCCCAGGCGAGATCAAGAACCCCCAGCTACACGAGTCAGTGAACAACTTCATGACCCATACGTGCACGCATGTGCAATACGACGACAATGGACAGCCGATTCCAAGTGCGAGGGCTTGCACGGACAAGACTGGCAAGTGCAAGAAAGGCTTTCCGCAGCTCCTGCAAGCCACCACAACCGAGGGGGTCGATGGATATGCCAAGTACCGTCGCCACACGGCCGCAGACCAGTACAGTATGCCACACAACCCGTACTTGGTGCACAAGTACAACTGCCTCATCAACGTCGAGGTTTACACAAGCATCAAGGCCGTCAAGTATATGTACAAGTACGTGTACAAGGGCAGCGATGGGATCACATACGCTGTCTTCACCGACCGGGAACGCCAGCCCATGCTTGACGAAGCACAGGAGTACGTAAGGACGCTACGTGACCTCCCTCGAAGCTATCACATTCATCCGCTGCTACGACCTGCAACGGATGTCCCACGCTGTCGAAGTATTGCCCGTGCACAAGAAAGATCAACAGCATTTCATCTACGACGAAGAAGGTGCACTGTCCATGGGCCTGTTGGAAAACGACGAAGAGTATGTGGTATGTATTCGACAAGCCACGTTGGACTGCATGGACGAAAAGCTGCACGAACTGTTTGCCAACATCTTGGTACATTGCCTGCTAGCGAACTCGCGAGCTCTGTTTGACCAATTCAAAGCCGATTTCATGGAGCTGCGCCGCTGCAACGAAGCACTCCCAGAGCCGCTCAGTGACGACATGATGCTTGGCAAGGCAATGTTCTACACACTCAAGGGCATCGACAACTGTTTCCAACACCATCGGTTGAGCCTTTGGGACTACCCGACGTTCGAAGTATTCCGTGACTTGCGCGAACGGCAACTACTGAACGATCCAAGAAGTCGACTTTAGGTCATTGAAATGTCGTACATGCGTGCAGCCCTCGACGACGCGTTGACCACTGCTGCGACCATGACTGACGAGCATAGGTCCTTTGTGGCCACGGTTTTGGTCCAAATATACGAGCACAGATCAGGCAAGGCGCACTTCCTCCAAGGCGAAGGAGGCTCAGGAAGTCGTACGTCTCTCAAATCCTGTTGGCAAAAGTGTGCGACAAAGGGGACATCGCGCTTGCTGTGGCATTGTCTGGGCTGGCAGCTTTGCTGCTTATGGGCGACACAACGGCACATTCGCAATTCAAAATCAACGACAAGTCCCTATGCCACATTCCGAAGCAGTCGTCATTGACAAAGATCATTCGAGACACCAAGCTCATTGTATGGGACGAGGTCTCAATGATCCACAAGCATGCCTTGGAGGCCGTCGACCGTTCCCTTCGCGAAATCATGGACAACCCCACAGCCCTGTTTGGCGGCAAGGTTGTTGTTTTCTCGGGCGATTTCAAGCAAATCCTGCCAATCATTCCACGCGGCACACCATCGGCCACCGTGGAGGCCTCCTTCAGACGCAGCAGCATCTGGATCGACGTGATAATTGTCAAGCTGACAAAGAACATGGGGCTGCGTGGTGAATCAGACGACGCAAGTATCGAGGAATGTTTCCAGAAGCGCATTATCCTTCACATGAAGGTCCCCAGAGGGACATGTTGTTCGTAGTTTCATACCACACTACGCCACGGTAACATAGAATCCACCGTCCAAAAGTGTGTAGGCGGACGTGTTGTTCGTCACGTTATTCAACGCAAATATGTACAGGTCCGAAACCTTACTGTATTCAGCGAAGCAAATCATCCTGCACATTAAGTTTCTACAGCATTGTTTTTCCTCATGTGATGTCACACAACACGGCGATAGTTTGAAAACACTGTTACTTAAATGACGAACTCCTTCCGAAATGTAAACGGAAGTACTTTTCACCACATCCAACACAGCGGTCATGCCTGCAAGATGGGTCGACTGCACTCTGACCAACATATCACGAGTCATTCTGCGGAGCTATTGGAGTGCCCGCGAAATGGCGCCGACTGTGTTGTGACCAACATGTCAAGAAATAAGCGGTGGGATTGGACATACCCCACATAATGACAACATGATGATAGCATGATGACAGCATGATTGCTGTATCA